GTCGTCAGCGGTCTCTAGGGTTAGTTGCGATCAACTCCCTTCATGCTGCGGTATGAGGTAGGGTGCTGCGGGGCCGTGTTAGTGCTATATGCACTAACCCTCATGTTCGGGGCATGCGATTTGTCCCGTGACGCCACCAGAGTATGCTTATGTGATATGAATGATGTTTGGATGACGATGTGATAGAATTGAAAAGTGATCTGTGACCTTAGATGCGTATTCCTTATGATGTTAACTCTAATTAACTGTTTATCATTGGTTAATGTGCTTGTCCCTATTTGCTGAGTCTATTCTTGGTTTTAAAGCTAGAGTCTCCTAAGTATATATCTTCCTACTTCAAAATGATTTTCCTGTATATATATATATATATATATATATATATATATATATATATATATATATATATATATATATATATATATACCTATATATATATACCTATATTGTATTTCAACGCGTTGGAGTGGGTTACCAGCATCATTCGCTGAACAGATATGTTTGGTTTTCAGGCACAGATGAGTAGACCTCGGAGCGCGCTAGAGATCCGAAGCGTAGATTAGTTAGTTTCCCTTTTGGCCTGCGTGCCATGATTATGTATTCACATTGCATTGAGGATTTTAGTTAGTTAGCTTGTGCATCTGGGTTCTCCAGCTCAGATGTGGCATAGCACCCCACACTCTTATGTTTGATTTTGGGATTTAATGAGGATTTAATGTGGCATAGCACCCCACACTCATATGTGGCCTGCGTGCCATGATTATGTACCTACAAACGCGTTGCGTACAATATAGGTAGATATAAGAAAATCATTTTGAAATTGGAATATATATATATACCTACGAGACTCTAATTTAAATCCAAGATCAAGAGACAAGACATTACAATAGGCTAGACAATATAGAACAATCATAGAATCTAACATGCATCCTAGGAACACAATACAAGGCATAATAGACGGATAAGCAAATAGTTACAACAAAGGAATCCAAGACAATCATTTAATAAGAAATCATCAAATCACACAATCCATCTTCCAACCTTACCTTTTGACTCCCCTCCGTCCTTATATCAGTTCCAACCTGTACCTCTAGGCTACCCTTATATCGCCTCCCTTATTCCTCCGAGCAACTACATGCCCCCACCAATAAACCATCTTTCAACCACCAACATATCAAGATAGCACCGCAGTGCCATTCGCATGATCCGTACTGATAAGCTTAATTTCTAGTCATTTTTTAGAGTAAGGTATTTATACTGTGATTGACTCTGTGCGCTTGCAGATTATAGCAATCAAGTTTTTGGCGCCGTTGCCGGGGAACACTTTATTAAACTGTTTTCTTTAAGTTTTTCTTTTCAAATTTATATTAGTTGTTAGGTTCGTTAGTATTTTATTTTTATTTAGTTTTTGTTTTTCGATTTTTATTTTGTTTATGAACTTAAGGCGATCAAAAAGGCATAAGAACGTTGAATTATTCCCTATTGATCTTGAAATCGAGCGTACTTGCAGAAAAAACAGGGTACGAAGGCGGCTTGGAATGGCTGAAAACAATAGAGTGGGTCAACAGGATGACCCCGTACCACCAATAGTTCCACCTCCTCAAAATCAAGCAGCTCAACCACGTCTTCGAGACATCCAAAGACCGGTAATAGTTGTTAACCCTTCTTGCATTCAATTATCTGATGCAGCTAGGAATTATGAACTAAAGACTTTCCATTTGAATATGCTCCCTACCTTTAACGGTTTGGGAAGTGAAGATGCTTTGGGTTTCATGCGTGAGCTCTATAGTACGGTACAAACTTTACCTTTAAATAATTTATCTGAAGAAGAGCTTAGAATGAAATGTTTTCCATATTGTATGAGGGGTGATGCTAGGCAGTGGTTGTTAAATTTACCAGAGGGTTCTTTAAGAGCTTGGGATGATGTTTACAATGCTTTCATGTTTAAATATTATTCATCTCAAAAGACAATGGATTATAGGAGTAGGATATGAACTTTCACTCAAAGAGAGACTGAGTTATTTCATGAAGCATGGGATCGTTTTAAATTGCTTTTGACACAATGTCCACACCATCAATTCCCATTGTTATTGTTGACACAATTCTTTTATGATGGTTTAACTCCTAATTGTCAATCTCTTGTAGACACTGCTGCAGGTGGATACACAGGTGATAAAAATTGTGATGAATTAGAAGCTATCTATGAGAACTTAGCTAATAATTCTCGACAAAAGGCAGTGAGAGGTCGAAGAGCTGCTGTGCATGAAATTAGCACTATAACACCCCAGATTTTCAAGACGTGTAAAACTTATATAATAAAGGTAATATCTCATTACATCCTAAAGTATATCATAAGTGTACGGGGTGCTATGCCACACCGGGGCTAGAGAACCCAGGTGCACAGGCTGTCTAACTAATATCCACCGAAATACAATGCATAATATGGCACGCAGGCCGAAAGGGAGACTAATCTACTTCTACGCTCCAGTTCTAGCGCGCTCCAGTGCTCTAGTCCTCTGTGCCTGAAAGCCAAATATATCTGTTCAGCGAGAGATGCTGGTAACCCACTCCAACGCGTTGAAATACCATACATATAGAGATATATATAGATATACGAAAATCATTTTGAGCATGAAGATATATCCTACGAACTCTAGCTTTAAAATCGGGAATGACTCGACAGATAAGGCCAGACACAAGCGACAGTCATAACGAGCATATGCAGTTCACAACAGATAAGGCATATAAGGCAAAGCATAAACAATGATCATAACCCAACATGAACAATCCCCAATATAAATCCCATAGTCACATCCCCCAAGACACTCGTAATCACAACTCGTCCATGTCACCACACATAACACACTTTGTTGGCGCCACAGGACCAATCGCATGCCAATACATGAGGGTCAGCGCATATAGCTCTGACACGGCCCCGCAGCACCCTGCCCCGTATCGCAACACGGAGGGGTCGATCGCAACCGACCGATGAACCGCAGCTCATCATAGTGTTTGATCGCAACCAAACAGTGGACCGCAGCCCAAGAGAATGTCATCTGACCGCAGCCAGGAAAAAGGACGAACCGCAGCTCGTATAGAAACGTTTGATCGCAACCAAACGGTGGACCGCAGCCCAAGAGTATCAATCTGACCGCAGCCAGCTTCTGAACCGCAGCTCAGGATAACCAATCCGATCGCAACCGAATTGGGGTAACACACACACATAACACATAGCAAGCACATGCAACCCATATTACACATTGGGAAGGGGGAGAAAGCGCATAACAAAACCTATGCGTGATCCATCACATACTAAGAATAGTCCTAAGGGGTTCATACTCCTTCCACCTAGGTCAACGGGATACCAATTCAACTAGCATGCAATATAATAAACTCATAAACCTACGAACGGTACCCGAAACATCAAACTAGACATGGCACGATAAACGGAGTCCGTTGGGACACCACGGGGAACGGGGGAACATCAAACGGGGAAGCCGGGGTCCCAAGGTGGGATAATTTCCAGCGGGTAGCCGGTGGGTGGGGGGCCACCCGCCGGCTGCCCGCCGGACTTTACTGTTCCGTGCAGCGGGTCGTCGGCGGGCAGCTGCCCGCCCGCCGGCTGCCCGCTGCCGGGAAGGTTTTCTCGGCCGTGGGTAGGTGGCGGGTCCCCTACCCCCCACCTACCCCCCACTGATTCTTATCACACAATACGCCCCGGGAACCGTTGTGGAACCCGAAACCATGCTTAGACACTTTACAACGCAATTAACGATCAACACGTAGACAATTAACGGTTCAAATACGAGAAACGAACGGCACATAACCTATCATGCTTTTCTAAACATAATCAACACCCAAACATGCGATTTCCCCACCCCACAATCCAAGAATCATAACATACGATACAACCTAGGGTTCTAATCACTTTTATGTCAATAAGAATACGATTCGCCTTCTAATTGCAAGATTCGGTAGGGATAACACATAAGCATCAAGAACATCACACAATTATCAAGAACAACACATAATTATCAAGAATTCCATATAATCATCAAGAACACCATAATTATCAAGAATCTCCCAATATCAAGATTATCAAGATCCCTCATGGGATCATCACGTCAAGCATCAATAATAATCAACAGATCTCGCCATTCACAATAATATGGGGGAAACCCTAAGGGGGAATCATAGCTATGAAAATAGGTTTTGTTGAGACATGGGTTACCTCTTAGCCTTAATTAATTCCTTGGCTATGAAGGATCTTTCTTTAAGCTTTCTTGATTTCTTGATTTCTCCTAGGGGAATTCTTGGAGCTCTTTGGGTGGTGAGAGATTATTGCGGTGGGGATTCTAGGTGCCTCCTAAGTTCCCTATTTATAGATCTAGGGATCTTATTTAGAGTCTAATCCTATTGGGATTAGGGGTTGGGTTTAGATATGAGGGCCCACGGACTATGGTGGGCCTTTTTCCCTAATTAATCATTATAATTTATTCTTTCTCTTGGGCTATTGATTAATTAACTAATTGGTTTTAGGGGCCGTAACACGGGGTGTTACAAGCACACAATCTGAGTTGACAACACAAGTGGCTAAATTGACTAAACAGATGAACTTGTTGATGACTCGTGATAGTTCGAATAGAGAATTTTGTGTTTATTGCAATGCATATGGTCATAATTCTTCTATTTGTATGAATGCAGAGTCATCGCAACCATTTTATGAAGAAGCCAATTACATGGGATCCAACATGGGTAGACAACAACCAAGGAGTGATCCATTTTCCTATACCTATAATCCAGGTTGGCGAAACCATCCTAACTTCTCATGGAGAGATCAAGGTAATGCAAGACCAATGGGACCACCTGGATTTCAGCAACAAGGACCATCAGGATTCCAGCATCAACAATACAGACCTTTCCAGCAACCACCTGCATCACAACAGTCTCAACTTCCTGCTCAGTAGAAGAAGCCTCAATTGGAGGAGATGTTCATGCAATACATGGCTAGCCAGGACACTACGATGAAGAAAATGGATGCAAAAATTGATAAGGTTGCTCAGTCCAACCAAGCATCCATTCATAATTTAGAGGTGCAAGTAGGTCAGTTGGCTAAATTCGTTGCAGAAAAAGATCGAGGTAAGTTTCCTAGTACCACTGAAATAAACCCAAGGGAAGGAGCTATGGCTGTCACCCTGAGAAGTGGTAAGATTTTGAATGAAGGTTTGAAAGAAAAAGAACCCACGAGTGTTGAAAAGGAGAGTGATAAAGAAGAAGAGCAAGTGCCTAAAGAGAGTTCTAGTGATCAAAACCTCACTTCATCTACAGTAAAACCTTATGTGCCCCCCATTCCATATCCACAAAGGTTACAAAAGAGCAATCAGGATAATAACTTCAAAAGATTCTTAGAGGTTTTTAAAAAATTGCAAATTAATATTCCTTTTGCAGAAGAACTTGCTAATATGCCATCTTATGCCAAGTACGTGAAGGAAATTGTGTCTAATAAAAAGAAACTGGAAGAGTTTGCTACTGTGCATCTAAATGACGAGTGTAGTGCTATTCTACAAAGCAAATTACCTCCTAAGCTAATGGATCCAAGAAGTTTTTCTATTCCTTTTATTATTGGTAATACTGTCATTGATAAATGCTTATGTGATCTAGGTGCCAGTATTAACCTTATGCCTTTAACGCTTTTCAATAAGTTGGAAATAGCTGAAATGAAGCCAACAACAATCTCTCTTCAACTTGCTGATAGATCAATCAAGTACCCGCTTGGAGTAGTGGAGGATATCTTGGTAAAAGTTGGTAAATTTTATTTTCCTACTGATTTTCTGATTCTTGATATGGGTAGTGACACAGATACATCTCTTATACTTGGTAGGCCATTTTTGTTGACAGGAGGAGTATTAATTGATATGCCTTTAGGAAAATTGATTTTTAGAGTAGGTACAAAAAAAGAGGAATTCTCTATCTCTAAAGCTGTAAAATTACCAACTTTTGATGAATCATGTCTTTTTGTTGTTGTTATTGAGAAACCTTCAGAAGAAGAATTTGTTAAGCATTCACCTAGTGAAATACCACATCAACTTGAACTTAAACCACCTTCATTGCGGTTCAAATACAAATTTTTGAGTGACAATGATACTTTTCATATGTTTTCTTATGCTCATTTACTTCATGCAAAAGAAGAGAGATTGTGGAGAACATTGACTAAAGCTTGGCATGAAAAAAATAATTTTTGGAGAGAATTCAATGTAGGGCAAGAAGTTTTGTTGTCTAATTCTTATCTTAAGCTTTTCCTAGAGAAATTGAAGTCTAGATGGTTTGGTCCTTTCATGGTCACTAAAGTTTGTTCGTATGAGGCCATAGAGATTGGAAGAGATAAAAAGAGACCATTCATGGTTGCTTCACCAAAAGGCAGTCCCGGAAGAAATTGGCAACTAACAGGGAAGTTTCCTATTTATTTCATTTTCTCATACCTGCTTTTATATTTAACATTGAGGACAATGTTGAGTTCGAGTGTGGGGAAGGGAAAGTAAGTTTAGGGGATATTTTCTGCAAGTTTTATGCAATTAAGACAACAACAAAAAAAATTCTGCATTTTCTTTGTGCATTTTTCTGCGTTTTGCTGCAATTATTTTCTGCACTTTCCAGCAATTTTCTGCAAAATTTTTAGCACAAGAAAATTTCTGCATTTTCTGCACTAATTTTCTGCATTTTATGGGATTTTCAGCGTCATTTCTTCCATTTTTCTGTGAATTTTCAGCAAAATAAAGTTTAAAAAAAATGTCTTCTAATGACTATGTTGATTGGGAGATAAGTTCTAGGGTTTTGGGAGTGCATAATGTCAATGAATGTGTTTGGCTATATGTATGCTTGCATAGAGTTGGTAGTCAAATTCTGTCACACTGTGAGCTTTTGAGCCTAGAGGTTGCCCACTGCAACTTATTTTCTTTTTGAGTGTTTATTTGCCCTCTTTGATTGTGTTACTTCTAGAACTTGCTTCATACCATTACAAAGCTACATGTTATATGATGACACGAGAATGATTTAGGCATTAGGATTTAGCCTTATGGCCTTAAAAATGACCACATCCTTATACATGCTATTTTCCCCTAGTGAACCATTTTTGAGCTTTAAAATAAATATAAGACATTTTCTTCATTAGCCAATCCCAAAGAACCTTTGCTCATAAAAAGAAGCCTCTTAACCCGTCCTTGGGTCAATGGATGTCATAATTTCATTTATCTGTGCAAGGTGACCAAAAGTGATGAAGTATGAGTGAGTTTGGAGTTGAAAGGTGATTCTACAATAGGTTTTTCTTTGCGTGAGGAATTGGTTGTGATCAAAGGGGATGAAAAAAAAAAGAACAAAATGATATGTTCTAATCTGTGGGTTGAAAAATCTTTGGTTGCCTAAACTTTTGTGCTCATTTTATTCTTAAAATGATTTATGAGTAATGAAGGCAAGATAGAAATTTGATGATTATGAGAAGAGTACTATTGGGGGTGATGTGAAAATGGAAAGCTATTTATTCGGTTTTACTAGAAAAGAAAAAGGAAAAAAAGAAGAAGATGAAAAAAAATAGAGAAAAAAATGAAAAAAAAAAGATGAAAAAGAGATGGAGGTTTTGGAAGTTTTTTTGAGAGTTTATCAGTTAAAAGGATGAAGGAGAATGAAGTAGTGATTGCTAGTTTTAGTAGAGTTTGTTGTATTGGTAGAATACAAGTTCTTGCTCTAGGTATGGTGAAATTATGGCTCTACTGATTCCTTGGACTTTATTTGTATTTCCTTATATCCTTTATTTCTTAAACCACATACCCTTTGCCTCATTACAACCCAGAAATAAAGACCTTTTGACTCGTGTTCTTCATATAATTTTGGTAGTGGAGTTTTGGTGGACAAGCAAGCCTATGGCAAGTGCACTCTCAATAGAGGATGGTGTGTACCTTTCTTATACATATTTATATGAGAGATTGAGTGAACAACCGTGAGGACTACTATTCTCTATTGTCTTGTGTGCATATGACTTTGAACTCTCATGAAATATTATGTGTTCACCAATTCCCTTGAATTGAATGCCTATTTGACATGGTTATGGTTGGTAGTTTTATTTTATTGCATAAGTTTGCTTGGGGACAAGCAAAACCTTGAGTGTGGGGAAGTTTGATAAGCTTAATTTCTAGTCATTTTTTAGAGTAATTTTAGTTAGTGAGTTGCATAAATAAATTAAGTCTTAGGGTTAATTATATTATTAATATTATATTTAGTTATATGTTACTACTTTAGACTAGTTTAGATGTGTTATAATAAATATTAGGTTAATGTTGCATTTTTACTAATATAAATTGGAGCTTTATTTTAATTATAGGATTAGATTTATTTGGTAGTTTTATACATTCAATTTAAATAAGTGTTTTAATAATTAAGTTTAAAAGTTATGTCATTAGGTTAGGATGAATTTTACTTTAACATTATTTTATTTTACTTTGTCTTTCTTGGAGGTAGTTTGGCGCAGCAATAAAAGAAATAGAGAAGGTTTAGGGCTTTTGGTTTTTTTTTTTTTCGTTCGAGAATACGTACGGCAGAGGAGAAGACGGAAAAACAGTAGGGAATAAAAGAGAGCTTGGGAGCGCAGCAGCGGGATTCGGCGAGAAGACTCCATCGCAAGGAATTTTGAGCTTCAATCGCAGCTATTGTCTCTTAGGCTTGAATTGATTTTCTTCCCTACTTTATTTTGTTTAATTTTCCAGAATGCTATTTCTTGAACATTCTATACATTCAAATATGATTCTTGGCTAGAACTCTTAATTAGGGATTTGGATTAGCCTATATTAGATTAATTGACTATTTTCCATATGTTAATTCTTCCAATTTCAATTTAATAATTGAATTTGATTATATTTATTTTATGTATTTTAATTGTGAACTGTGTGACTGGCCATTGCATAATTCTAATATTATGGTTCGTAAGAAGAACTGACAGGTGAATTATGGACCTAGAACTCGTAAGATAAACACAATTGACCTAAACTAGACATAGCTTTAGGTATTTGTGGTGAGAATTGATTGTTGCTTAATGGGTTTAATTAATGTTGGTGAGATATCGACGGATGATCACAGTTAATTGGATACAACTTAGTAGCTCGACGGAGTATTAGGATATATTTGAAACAATCATCACTATAGTCATAAGAATTAATATTTAGGAGAGTTAGTTAATTATTTAATAGGTGAACCCAAATCCCTAGTCTTCTCTCAATTGAAATTTCCTTTGATATTTAATTCATAAATATTCTATTTTATCACATTAATTCTATTTATTTGCATCTTTCTTATTCAACAAATTGATTATTTAAGTTAACAGTTAATAGTGTTCTTCGTGGGATCGACCCTGGAATGCTCCAGGTATTTATACTGTGATTGACTCTGTGCGCTTGCAGATTATAGCAATCACGTACCTCTAGTACCAATACCAAGGGGTCAGCGCATATAGCCTCGACATGGCACCGCAGCACTTATAACCTGACCCATGCTCAACGACAAGCTAGTCGAAGGTGGGTTTGTGCCTTTAGCACAGTAACCGCGAGGCCTGTACCTTTAGTACGATGACCGGCACTCGTTATGCCAACCACCAACAATTCATTTCGACCAATCACAATCTCAACATCATTATCATCTGTCATACCGGCCATTGCGCAATGACCATGATACTCATCATCATTCAATCAATCAACACATAATCAATCAATAACAATCAAGACATAACAACAACGACACGTACTACACATAAATTCCTAGAACGGTATTCAAAACATCAAACGAGACTCATACACGACAAATGGGATACAACTAGACACGGGGAAAAACACAACGACCCACATCAACTTTCTAGCGGGTAGGTGGCGGGTGTAGGACCACCAGCCGGCGGGCAGCCAAGACTCCAGCGGGCAGGCCACCGCCCGCCGGTTGCCTGCTAGGTTTGGCTTGCCGGGCAGCAGGTAGGTGGTGGGCGGTCATCCCCCCACCTATCCCCCACTGGTACATAGACAACTTTTCGGTCCCAAGATCTCTCGTGGAACCCGAAATCATGTCCAGACACATCTCAACACATAACGACAACACCACGGAGTCAATTAACGGAATTAAACCAAGAATCATCCCAAACACATTCTAACACGATTCCTAAACATGTCACGACACAACATTAATCATATAACGGTTCAGGAGCATCCGGAACCTCAAGAACATCAAGAAATCTACATGCAAATCCCTAAAGATAAATCCTAGGCTAGACTCAACACCCGATCAGGCATAAACCCACCCAAATATACCAAGAACATCACAACAACGAAATACACGATATAAACCCTTGGGACAAGCTCTAGACATAATTAAAACAAATGATCATACATATAATCAATCACTATATCAAGATCATCAAGATTATCAAATAAACACAATATAAACCCTGGACAAGGCTCTATCAAGACTCAATCACAGAATCATACATACGATTATCAAAGGAGCCAATGAATAAGATATAGCAAGGAAAATAGGTTTTGTAAGACATGGGTTACCTCTTTGCACTAATCAATATCCTTAGCTACTAAGGTTATTCTCTAAGATATTTCTCTAACGGATTTCTTCGGGTTCGGTGGCGGGGAGTTCCTTTGCTAGTTTTTCCTCGGGGAATATCTCGTATGGTAGAATTAATTGTGGTAGGGTTTCTAAATGCTTTCAAGTCCCCTATTTATGGATTCAGGAGTCCTAACTAGAGTCTGATTGGTAAAGGCCCATTTTCCTATTCCTAATAGAATTAAAGACTTGATTTAAGGATAAGGATCCATGATCCATTGTGGACCATACTAATTAATTCATGGGAGTTCTAGTCCAATTAAATCCTTTTTAATTATATGTTAACGGAATTAATTTCATAATTAGTCTTGACACGGAGGCCGTAACATGGGGTGTTACAACTGATCCTACAAAAATAGAAGTTGTGATATCTTGGCCAAAACTTTGCACTGTCAATACCCTAAGGGGGTTCTTGGGGCTCACTTGCTACAATAGAAGATTTATAAGATGATATGGAGCCATATGCAAACTACTGACAAACATTGTAACACCCCTGATTTTTAAAACATTTAAGGCTTATGAAATCAAGGTAAATATTTATTAATCATCCAAACAGAGCATAAACTAATCATAAGAGTCGGGGTGCTATCCCACACCTAGGATTGAGAACCTAGATGCACAGGCTACAACTAACTAATCCAAGCATAATCCATCATTAATATTCAAATACAATTCTAGGCACACAGGCCATAGTAACTATGACTAGAACTAACTAATGCTAATTCTGCGGGTCCGTCTAACGCACTCCGAAGATACTGGCCAGTGCCTGAAAACATGCGGTGTAACAACCGTCAGCGAATAATGCTAGTAACCCACTCCAACGCGTTAAGTACAATATAGGTAGATATATGAAACTCAATTTGAAACTGGAATACATATATACATACGATATTCTAGTTTA